AACTCGGCCGCTCAGCGCCTCACCAGCAGGCCTCGGCGCGCGGAGGGGAGTGGAAGGGACCTCCTCTCTTCCGGTCCGGCTCCACTACACTTCCGTCGAGGGGTAGGGACTGCCTACACGGAGGCCGGGATCCAGCCCCCAGGGCCCGCCCCTCCCGACCCAAGCACAGACTCCAGGCTTAAGAGAGCAGCTTCTCTTTATTGTCGTTTGGGAAAAGGCGAGGGGGCCGGAGGGACAGGGACAGCCAGCCCCAGCCTCCCCCCACCGGGGCTGGGCCCGGAAATGAGGGTCAGTCGGGGGTGGGGAGAGTCTTTAAATAGAAGAGGGAGGGGGCTGAAGGGGGTGAATGCGGTCCCGCTCTAGCGCACCATGTACTCCTTGCGCTTATTGAGCCGAACTTGGCAGAAGGAGAAGCCTCCGAGGAGGAGGTAAAGGCCCGCAGCGATGAAGCAGTTGTAGCTGACTTGCTCGTAAAGATCGTATATGTTCTGGGGGCCATTCCTGGGGGAGGAGATTAGGCAGAGAAGTGTCAGAAACAGGAACAGCGGCCAGCACTCACAGAGCACTGACCATGTGCTAGGACGGGTTCTACGTGCCTTCACGTGCATTACCTTAACTCAGTCTGCTTCACCCTATGGGGTGAGTTCTAGTACAGCATCCATTTGCAGGGGGGGCGGAGGCACAGGAAAGTCAGGTAAAATACGTCAAGAAGCCACAACTGAAGTGGCGGGTTTAGGATGGCTGCCGAGGCCTGACTCCCGAGACCAATGCAAAGTGTACGCTAAAGAGAGCCGTTCTCTGCCCTAGCCGGTTTGGCTCAGTGGATAGAGCCTCGGCCTGCGGACTCAAGGGTCCCAGGTTCGATTCCAGTCAAGGGCATGAACCTTGGTTGCGGGCACATCACCAGGAGGGGTGTGCAGGAGGCAGCTGATCGATGTTTCTCTCTCATTGATGTTTCTAACTCTCTATTCCTCTCCCTTCCTCTCTGTAAAAAAGATACCATGTGAA